CCAAGTAGTCAAAGCCAGAGCAGATAGTACAATGGAACCGAGTAACCATCCAATTGAGAACAATACAGAAGAATCGTGAGTCAATGTCCAAGCCCAACAGGGCAACACCAACAGCATAACCCAATGTAGCTCTCTGTCTGAATGGCGCCAGGCGCCCTACCTACTCTACAGACTATGCCTACAACTACAGCAATGAAAGCAACCAGACAACTTGACTACCAGCGAGTGATGATGTCAACACCAATGCCAACTTCCACCTCCACCAGGTATGTGTCCTCTTCACCCACACTCTCCCTTGATAACCCGCAGCGCCCTTCACCTCCGAAGACCACCTTCGCCCTTCACCCCCACTGCACCCTTATGCGGCCCGGCTATGGCCGCCAGTGCCTTGCATGCAGGCAGCGCCCTACCGCCTAGCGCTAGCCTGCTTCATCCCAGCGCAGCGCAGCTCTTGCATAGCGCAGCACACAGGCATTAGCGCAGCATGCCCGCAATGCCTGCATTGGCCAAGATCCTTGCCCACTCGCCCTGCTTGCCTATATGCCAGTGCTGCGTGTGGGCGGCCTCCCTTCAGCCTGCGTCTGGGGCCCAGTGGCTGAACCCAGCCCGATACAGTTGAGGCCCGGGGCAATGCAGTTGCGCCTCTTTCATCAAGGCCTGCGGCCAGATTCAGATAGTGGCCGATTTCCCTTTGGCATTTTCGGCCTCTCTTCCCAGCATCCATTGTCGGCCTCACATTCGAGTGCCCAGGGCCTAACTAACTCAGAGGCCCTGGGATTTCCACATTTGCAGAGATCCGAGACTCGGTGCACTCCAACCAACTGGCGTGCTGCAACTGTATGGACCCCACTTCGGGAAATGTTTGCATAGAGGGCTCTTGTTGATTTGCTGGCCCGCCTTCACTTAGGGCGGGCACGAGGCTTGCTGGGGCCTTAGCCCAGAACATGTACATCATGGCAAGGCCCCTTCTTGAGTGCTCAATCCTCACATTCCATCCCCCTTAGCTTCAAAAGTCCGCTGAGATGCTTACTTCGCAGGTGCCTTCCCTTTCAGTAGCCTCTCATATTCTGCCACCACCTGAGGAGCTGTCTCAATCAGTTCCTCCCTGGTAAACCACCGATCTTCTTTTGGATCCGTATGATGCCTGAATCTGACGCGGTACTCTCTCTTGGGTTTAGAAGGTCTTCCTCGACCCAGCGGCTTCGGAACAGGCATATCCCTGTGATCCACAATGTCGTCGATGTCCACTTGTCCATTCATGGTTGGGGGCAGCATCGATCTCCTGGAAGGGAATTGATTTGTCTCAGCGAAAGGTGCAAGCTTTGAGGCATGAAAGACTGGGTGAGTGCGTAGGTGTCCAGGGACACGAATGACATATGTGGGACCATCCATCTCAACTCTTGTCCTAACTCACTAGCTTTGACCCAGACTCGTTCCCCTACCTGAAATGTGGACTGTCTACGGTGTTGATTCTCAGAAGCAATCATTGCTTGCTGAGCTTTCTTCATGTGCTCGACAGCGTCTTGCAGCAACTTCTCATATTGCACACCATACTCAAGTGTGCTTGGAGTTGCGGCGGGTCGGTTTTCAGGTAGGAGGCAGTCTAATGCTGATCTAGGCTTCCATCCCAAGTGTAGCTGATTAGGACTAACGCCGGTACTGCTGTGGACAACATTGTTGTACAGGCTGGCGATGAGAGGCAACTGCTCATCCCAGTCATCCTGGATGGGCTTGATGTAATGCCTCAGCAAGTGCTGTACAACTCTGTTCATTTGTTCGGCTTGTCCGTTGGCTTCGGGATGATTCCCTGAAGTCATCTGTTCTGCAGTCTTCTTCCACAGCTCACTTGTGAATCGGACATCTCGGTCACTAACGATTGACATTGGTAAACCAAAGTCACGCACCCAGTTGTCTTTGAACAACTTGATGACATAGTCATTTCTTGAGGTCTCTGGCATAGCCACTTGTCTAGCGTACTTGGTGAATCGGTCGATGATGACGAAGATGTGCCTCTTGCCACTCTTACTAGTCACCAGGGTGTCCATGAAATCCATGGAGACACTCTGTCCTGGACCAGCAGGGATAGGCAAAGTCTTCAACAACCCAAGCGGTGCTTGAGTTCGCGGCTTGTCCTGTTGACAGACCTGACAGGTCTCTACGTACTTCTTCGCGTCATCCAACATACCAGGCCACCAAAATCGTTGTACTAAGTTAGCACTCGTCTTCTTGTAGCCAAAGTGCCCGGTTGCGTCATGACATTCGCCTAAAAATAAACTACGCAAACGTTCACTAGATGGAACTACTAACCTTTTTATTCCTGCCTTATCAAGATAGAGTAACCCGTCCACCATCACAAACTCACTTTCCGTGGCCTTGTCTTTTGCCTGAAGTTTGAGCATGATGTCCATCGTGACAGGGTCTTCCTGATAGGCTCCCACCAATGATTGAGTTACTTCGTCAGATACGCCAAAGTCAGAAACTAGCGCACCTAGGTAGTCTGCTCTACGGGATAGCGCATCCGCAACCTTGTTATACTCTCCCTTCAGATACTCAAGCTTGAAGTCATATTGATCTATGACCTCAATCCATCGCCTGAGTGCATCAGAAAGAGCCGGTTGAGTCTTGATCCATTTGAGGGTATGATGATCAGTCCTCAAGTAGAAGAACCTTCCCAATAGCAAGTGTCTCCAATGGACAAGTGCTTTGTACAGAGCATAGAGTTCCCTTTCGTAGGTGGATTTTGCCAACTTCTTTGATGGCATCTTCTTACTCATGTACTCAATCGGTCTCAACTTTTTCCCATCCTGTTGAGCCAGCACTGCACCAATGCCGTATTGGCTTGCGTCAGTGGTCACTATGAATGGCTTCTGAGGATCGGGAACCATGAGGACCTCATGATTCATGAGTGCATGCTTCAGTCTGTTGAAAGCACCCTTGACTCATCACTCCAGTCCCACGGTGTGTCAAGTCGAGTTAGATCAGTCAAAGGAGAGGCGACTGTAGAATAGTTCTTTACGAAGTTTCTATAGTAGCCGCACATTCCTAAGAATGATCTGACCTCAGTGACTGTTTGAGGTCGTGGCCAGTCTCGAATACTAGCCACCTTCGCAGCCTTATCCCCTCCGCGGATACTTCATGACCCAAGTATAGTATCTTAGTGCGGCCAAACTCGCACTTCTCTAAGTTGACCTTATACTTGTGCTGTCGTAGGAGTGGGAGTACCTTCTCTACATGTTGTGCGTGCTCCTCGGCAGACTTACTAAAGATCAGAATGTCGTCTAAGTAGACCACGACAAACTTATCTAAATGGTCATGGAAAATCCGATTCATAGCATGCTGGAATGTTCTCGGCGCGTTACAAAGACCAAAAGGCATCACTACAAACTCATATAGACCATAACGAGTCTGAAAAGTTGTCTGATGATAGCCGGATTTCAAGTCTATCTTGCTATAGTACTTGCATCCCTGCACCCTATCCAATAGGTCGTCTATGCGAGGTAGAGGCTCTGCGTTCTTCACAGTGATGGCATTGAGGCCTCTATAGTCAATACACATCCTCAATGTACCCCCCTTCTTCGGTACGAATAGAACGGGTGATCCGGAAGGGGAAGTACTAGGCCGAATCCATCCCTTTTCTGTCAGCTCCTTAAGTTGTCGCCGAAGTTCATCTAACTCGGCGGGGGCCATCCTATAGATCCTTCCCTTTGGGGTCTTACTCCCTGGAATGATTTCTATAGCGTGGACGACTTCCCTTTCAACAACCCCTGTGGGCTCCTCGAACAGATCAGGGAACTTAGCAACGACGCGTTCTATCTCTGGGGGTGTTTTAACGGCCTCCCCCTTCTCAGAGACATACACAAGGTACATACCCTCCTCTTCGTTTTGCTTATAGTAATTGTAGAACGTTGATGCGCACAAGCAGCCATAGGTATCTATAATGCTACTGGTTTTGAACTTAGTCAATCTGACAGTTCGGCCACCGGGCAACTTATGCTTGAGCACCTTCTTATCCCAGTCGAACTGGGGCTTAGCAACTTCGAGGTAGTACATGCCTAACAACATGTCGAATGGTAAGTCGTCGCTAACCAAGAACGAGATCTTATGGTTAAGCTCTCCCCCTCCATAGAAGAAGGTACAGACTTCGTCCTTGATGTACTCTGTTACAATCATGCGCTCCTTGTTGGCCAAAGTAGATTCTTCTGGTCTACTAAGGTGCCGTACCCGGTCCTGTAGGTGCAGCCTTTCCAAACAATCGCGACTTATGTAATTCCGCGTGGAGCCTATGTCTATGAAGGCACCACATTTGCGGCCTCCTACATCCACTTCCACCACGAAATGTTCCCCTTTAGGACCTTTCTTCAGCGCCACCCAAGACACGCGAGGGTCCTTGTTTGACCACTCACCTTCTAAGTCTTCTAAGGCTTCAGACACATCTAACGTACAGAGCATAGTTTGGTCTAGATGTGTCTGCGGGGTGACTAAGGAGTCATTAGCTTTGGCCTTGTCATGAAGTGGGGAGGGTATCAATCCCACCTCAAGATAGATGTGTTTGCGGGGTGACTAAGGAGTCATTAGCTTTGGCCTTGTCATGAAGTGGGGAGGGTATCAATCCCACCTCATCTTGAGTAGAAGCAGCTAACACTTCCACTGGCCACACGCGTTTCCCGAGCTAGAAGCCTGGGAATAAGATGCCCCTATCTTTGGAGCTACCTTTTGCGTAACCTTCGCGTTCTGGCACTTATAGTGCGAGTGTCCGTATTCCCCGCAGTTGATACAAGCGCCACGCGTTCGGCGGTCACGCCAAACGTCTTGATCAAGACCTGCCTTAACCCACTCAGCCTGCTTGGTCTGATTGGAGGCGGCCTTCACTTGACTCCTAGGTTGGCCCTTTCCTCGGCCAGCGAGGGTGCTACCCTCAGCGGGCTCCTCGCCGTCATACTCTGAATAGTCCATCAGGTCAGTGAGCTCGTCGATCTCTGTTTGAGTCCCATCAGACTCAACCATCATCAACTCAGGCCCCTTCTTCCACTCCTGAGGACTCTTCTTCTTCTTCGTGTCATTCTGAGAGGTTGGTTGAGCATTGCCTAGCGTGGCTTCCAAATCTAAGGCTTTCCTAGACAGTGTCTCAAACGAATGGTACTCAGTGCGTGCCTCGCTGGCCAGCAAGTTCCTAATGTTCTCTGGTAAACATCTAACAAACGTAGTTAACAGGAACTGGTCATTGTAGTTGATGCCTGGGACGAGGATCAGGCTCTCAACGGTAGTCGTAAGCTCTCTGACCGACTTGAATTTTTGTTGGTCTAACTTGTTAATCGCATCAGTGGCCCTTTGTGCCTCCTGTGGATTATGCCATCGAGCTTCTACCATTTCCATGAACTGGTCTAGCGTAAGAGACTTAGCCCAGTCCGCCATGCGTCGCCCGTACGCGGCCTTTATCACTACACCATCTAACCATTTGGCTGCCTTACCCTCGAGGTAAGATGCCGCAGTTACCACTTCGTCCTCCAGCAAGGTCCTTTTTGCCTTCACCCAAACTGGGACCGTCCTTAACCAAGTGTTGAGTTCTTCGTCCTTTCTCTCGCCTGAGAAGGGAGAGGCGGTTTCATTGGGGTCTTAAGGTACCAATGACCTTGCTGCTGTCCCTGTTGAGGAACAGGTTGTTGCGGTGATGTAGCAATCACCGCTGGACCCGAAGGAGAAGACGCAACAGTCTGTGTGGCTGCTGCAGACGTACCACTTGGTTGTGTACCAGCTTGAATTGGAAAGGGGCCTGACATCGCCGATAACGGCAACGGCGATTGTGTTGGTGGCCTAAACCCTGGCCTTGTCAAAGCGTCCAGGATCTGGTCTAAAGTGCTTTGCATGAAGTCCAACCTGCTCATCGTAGATTCGTGCTCATTGGGGATCCGTGCTTTTCTTTGGTGCTCGGTGCTAATCGTTGATCCGTGCTTTTCATGCTCATCGTGGATACATGCTTTTCGTGCTAGGTGCTCATCGTGAATACGTGCTCTCTCTCTCTCTCTCTCTCTCTCTCTCTCTCTCTCTCTCTCTCTCTCTCTCTCTCTCTCTCTCTCTCTCTCT